ACTAGAAACCCCCGAAATGGTGAGATGATTACCACGTTTTCCCCACCAAAAACACAGCTGCAAACTATGCTAAAATAATAACAATGTCTAAATCTTTGAGCGCAGGAAATCTAACCACACACTTAAAACACTAACACACGGTTACATTACATTATCCTGTCCGCAGTGACTGTTGGCCCACATGCATGCTGTGTGTCCACCCAGGAGTTAACCACCCAGAGAACCAACTATAGGCCATGAGAATGATTGTTTAAGGCATATTTAGAGCGCTACACATCTACTCTAGGTGTTTTTACATTCAAACACGCAGTTACATGGCCAGCTGTATCCAGATTTTAAAACATATCTTGAAACCGTCGTAATTACTATGCCCAATTTGACAATTCAGTATTCCACTTGCCAATGTACACAATCAAAAAGGCTTTATTGCTAAAATTGGCACTGTGTTGTTAAAACCAGGGTTGACTATTTATTCAATTACTATAAAAAAGCTCTACGCAAATTAAGTTTTGGAAGCCTATCGTTTTACTTGGGGACCTTGGAGATGACATTTACAAGAGTCAGTTTTAGATGCAAAAAGGTGACTAGGCTTGGTTTGGTTTGAAAGTGGATATTTGAAAGAGTTGAAAGTCCAAAATGGTGGATGTAGTTAGTGGTTTGCTGGTAAATGTGGATCAGAAAGGAGAGTGCACATTCTTCACTTCAGTGGGGGCCTCTTTTGAAGACGCTAAGTTCAGTGCATCAAGGTCATGGGGCCCAGATTCCAGGCATGGTTTATATAATGTATCCTGTGTATAGTAGTGAAATTAAGTTAGCTTGTGACTGGATGCTGGTAGGTCTGGATGGAATGGATTTATCACGCAAGATGTTCAAAAATGTAGAAATTACAGCACTCAACTAAATTAACTGACAGATTTAAAAAGTCAAGACACTGGATAACAAATGTTTGTTTTTGTTTTTTTCATGCTCCTCTTCTAACATTACTCATATATGAGTAATGCACTAAAAGACTTAGTGTAAGCCACAGCTCCTTGAATCTCCTTCTGTTTCTTTCTGTGTAAACATATTTTGTTATTGTCCAGTTAGGTCCCTTTGGTCTTCCTGTTAGAATATACGTTGTTATTCTAAAAGGTCATTACAAAAATATCCATTATGAAGGTGTTTTACTTACGATATTGTGAATATTACAATATTGTTAAAGTCCTCATTGACAAGTAATATTTGTAAAAGACTATCCACAGTGACCATTGAGTTTAAAAAAGTATAAAACATACAGTCCTATATTGTAAAATTGAGTAAAATACACATAGCATACTAATACTATGGAAAGTATCTTGAAATGCAACTGTATCAGTAACAATGAGACATGACTGTCACAGAGCAGCATGACCCACAAGGCCAAAGTTTTACACTGTGTTACTTTTAAGAGCCACTTAACACTTTTATTTAGACACAGCCTCGACCCACTGGCTCACATAGCTTTAATCTCTGCAGTTAATGTTTCACTTGCAGAACCATTCATTTGTTCTTCCCATATCTTACCTTAGCTCAGTTATAGCAAGAAATATGACGTAAACTCCATTGATAATTGGATCTAGATATTACAATTTAAAAAACATTCAAAATCACCACCTACAGAAATTGGTTTCACCCTAGTTTCATCCTTGAAATTTACCAGCCTGCCCTATTAATTGTAGATCTAACTGCCTTTGCACCAGGCAAGACTATTCACTAGAGACAGACCAATGTATTGGTTAACCGATATACCAACACTTTTTAGCAAATCGGCTAATGGCCTCCAGAACAGGCCGGTATTTTGTTTTGGCTGACCTGCTGCCTAAATAGTACACACAAATCTTTAATTGAACACTTCAGTGCAAATAGATGACTACTCAAAATGTGACTACATAGCCCCCTTGAAGGTTTGTGGTAAAAAGTGATTGTAGGTGAGTTTGTCATAAATTAAAATTACGTAATTTGGTAAAAAATAATAGGTTCTACATATCGGCCCAAAAATATCAGCAGAGCTCATCAGCCATCAATTGCCCTGGATTCTAAACTGTATCGGCATTGACTATGCACATAATTTCTATTACATTAATTTAAACTTAGGTATCACAGAGAATGCACTGGACTTCATTTAGTCAGTGGTCTCTTATCCACACTCTCTTACCGAGAGGCAGTTGTATTACCCCCTACAGTGACAATACTCAATAGACTCATGAACTTCTTTATTTGTAACAGACTTGTTTGGGTGGCCTTTTTCTTGGGTGATTGTTTGCCAGGTCACAACAGCAGCCTGTTTGACGCCCAGAATGACTGACTTTAACAAGATGGCTGGAGGCTGCCAACTGTAAATGTACTATGAAATCTTGTTTTGACAGGGGCTGATGCCGGGCTGACTGGCCGAGTGTTTGTGATTGTCAGATCAGCAGTTCACAGCGCTGCAGTGCCAATGGCCACCTCTGCAGCAGGACACTGTGAATTCTAGCAGTGCGGCGATGCTTGGCTTTCATCTCCAAGAGACATGGTCCAAACCCAGCTCGTATAAATATGGTGTTACTACTGTAGACGTCATTCTGCTCCACACAGTTTATCTACTCAATCCAAGTTAAAAACAATTTTCTAGTTAAATGTAAAGAGGACAGATATAATTTTCCTCCAGGTTATATTAAACTTCAACAGATATTTAGTATTAAACTACAACATAAGTTGTAGTTGTTAAGCTACATCATAAGTAGATCATTATTTTACATCTTGTTCATTGTTAAGCATCATTTTGGCTGGAAATACATTAATACTTCTCGTTCAAACCATTTAGAACTGAGAGCTCCAGATCTTCGTAATGGCATTTTATCATAGTTAGATGAGATAGGGGTAGGTAAAAAAGTGAAAACAGGAATCACTAAAGGCACGAATGCAGGACATTACAGGATTACTCAAACATCCATCCATTCATCCATTTTCTTCCACTTTATCCGGGGCCAGGGCGTGGAAGCACCAGTGTGAGCAGGAGGTCCAGACTTCCTTTTGCACACACACTTCCTCCAGCTCTTCCAGGCAGATCTGAGGCATTCACAGGTCAGTTGAGGGACATAGTCCCTCCAGCATGTCCTGGGTCTTCCCCAGGGCCTCCTCCCTGTGGGACATGCCTGGGTCCAGGATGCATATGGAATAGATGCCCGAGCCACCTCAGCTGGCTCCTTTCAATGTGGAGGATCAGTGGCTCTACTCCAAGCTCCTCCCTTGTGACTGAGTTCCTTAGCCTCTCTCTAAGGGAGCGCCCAGCCATCCTGCGGTGGAAACTAATTTCAACCGCTTGTATTCGCTGTCTTGTCCTTTTAGTCATTACCCAAAGCTCATAGGTGAGGGTAGGAACGTAGATTGACCGGTAAATTGAGAGCTTTGCCTTTCGGCTCAGCTCCTTCTTTACCACAATGATCCGATACAGTGACCGTCTGTCAATCTCATGCTCCATTCTTCTCTCACTCGTGAACAAGAACTCTTGATACTTAAGCTAATCCACTTGAGGTAAGGACTCTTCTCCCACCTGGAGAGATTACTCAAACATGCACAAATCAATTATAATATAACTGAGTAAACTAAAGAATTGGGAACATGGTTTAGTGCACACTCTATGTCCCTTATAAATACTGCCTCCAGTGTTTTATAAACTTCCAATTAATTTAAACTTGAATAAAAATGTCTCTACATTGGTACAAAACGTGCATACAGCCTATACTGTGAAGGTACAAGTACAGTTGTATATGGCTCCTTTGTGCATGAGGATGACTGACAGCAGCCCTTCAGCCTAGGCCCACCACATCTGTGCCTGTCCCGGAGCAGCAGAGGAAATGCATCCTGAGAAGTGAGAGATTGAAATCAACAAAACACAAGTTGGTCTTTGTCTGTGCTGCTGCTGCCACAGCGAGTGGGCCCGGACGCTCACTGCCTGCTCAGAAATGAACCCTGCTAAAATAAGACAGGCTTCGTATAGAGGATTAGAGCTCTTGGAAATCATGTGCACAGTTTTACAGATTTATGACAAGGTTTTTAAGTTTAATTCCTGAAATGCAAAATAATCAAGATGTCTGTACAGGGTATTATTATTGGCTCTGAGCCACGACACCTGAAAAACTAAAACATGGACAGTGCCAAATAAATAGCGTGGAGTTTAAGTTGGGTGAACTTAATTGACATAAGTGTTTTTGACTGCTCTGACAATTCATCTGAAGTATAGTGCTGCAGCTTTATGCCAAGTCTATGGTAAGATAAGATCTCCTATTAAGATCCAAAAGAGGCAATTTAGCTTCAATGCATTTTTTTTTGAATGAAATGGAACTTGAATTTCCTGATTTGGAGCCAGTGATGAAATTCTGAACTCCATTCCCAGACCATAGCTGCCATAATTGTATAGCAATGTTTGATGTAGAATCCCCAAGTTTATAGAAAATAAATGTGTGATGAAATGACAAATAAAGCCCCATGTACACAGTTATGAAAAAACACAATGATAAATATGTACATTCAAGTATGTACAAGTTTTTTAATTGTGATTGAACCATATACAACCCCGGCCAGCCAGGTCCATATTATTTATACAGTACACATAAGCTGGAAAATACAACATAAAAGAAAATATTGTCCATACAAAATATTTACAATCAAATCAAACATGGTTTATGTATAGATGTACTGTTTAGCCGAATACTTCACAGGTAAAGTATAACACGATCCCTTATTTACACTATATTACAAAAAAATATACATCATTTCCTGCCTGCTATTTCAACTTATAAAAACTAGAGGATTAGGGGTTGAAGATGGTTAATGGTTTGAATGTTTCCTTTAGTTCTAGAGCATTAATCATAGCAGCAAATCCAGTTTTAAATTGGTATTTTTAAGTTGTAAGCAAGATAGACAAATGTTCTCAAATTTTTGAACTATATTATATTTCAATAGATTGATTATGTGTTTCATTGGATAAAATTTGGGAGTTTTCAGATGACTGCAAACACTCGAAATGCTTTTCCAGTCGTCGGATTTAGAAGCCTGTGAAAAGAAACAGATAGATCTGAAGTAGCAGCAATGTTGGGTCAGATTTTGATGATTGGATTTTTGATTTTGTCCATACGTTTCTGATGTGATGCCGTTCTGGTGACTGCCTTTGTACAGCCTCCTCCTGTCCACGGGCATCACATCCAGGTAACCCCCCGACTCATTCTGGATGACCCCTGCATGGACTCCTGCTCGGCAAATACTAGATTTCTGAACATGATAAATTATATTACAAATCAGGAAAACAAAATCAGAAATGTTATTTGTTGTCATGCTTACGTCAGAGTAATATTTTGTTCCAATCACTCGAACTTGACTCTGATGAAGACAATTCCTAGGGCAGTATAACCTGGTAGAAAAAAATACAGCAGCAATGTTTTTAGTTCTCTAAAAAATAAAAAATACTGAATCATGTAAATTACCTTGGACAATGCCTGACAGGTTTCTTGAAAGGGCAATATAGAGCAACGGTAGTGTCGCAGGTGACAGCCTTAACTGTGAGAAAGCAAAAATAGCACTGGAGTTTGTACATCAACAGTTAAAAGGAAAACAAATAATTATTAATACTAATAAAAGAATAGTTCGTAAGAGTATGACCTACCTGGCACTTTCTCAACTTTAAACGAATTTGCACTTCTGTTCTTTCTGCAATTGAAATATAACATCTAGTTATGTAAAACTTCTAACCTAATCTAATAAAACATCTAAACTTGGAGAGCTTACATCTGAGAAACTGTAAACATACCCTACTGACTGAATACCATTCTTGTATGATTTAGTGAAATGTGGTTTTCTGCCCAGTCTGCTCACATCCAGCCATCCTCCATCATTGTCAATGACTCCAGCATGTAGTCCTGCTGCACATACACTGGATTGCTGCAAACAGGTATAATTCACTTACTTGTATAATACATACATACAATACATACAAAAAAAGTTATTATTATTATTGTTTTACCATGTCGTAATAGCCACTTCCAACAGCTTTACCAGGTCTGTCCAAGCAGCCAGGTGGACATTCATATCTGACAAGAGCATGCAGTATTTCTGTGTTTATTTTATAATGAATTTGGGCACAGGCCTTTTGTCTTTACTTTACCTGTTACAAGTGGTCCCTTTGCATTGATCTCTCAATTTTGTGTCACACTCCACCTGCTGACCTGTGGAGGAAAGAGCCCTTCAGAAATGTCGACTCGAAATGGCAGGCCATAAGACGTAATGCTGATGGGAGTGTTGCATGATGGGAGCAGTCCTTACTCATCTGCTCAGTGCTGACCACCTGGTTTCTCTGAGTGTTGTCATGACGAGGGGGGTCCGGGGACTGGGCCCGGGGCTCTGGATCTCTCTCTCGGACCGGATCTGGTTCAGGCTCAGGTTCAATGTAGTTGGTTTCCTCAAGCTCTGGAGCAGGCCGTCTGTCAACACCACCATCTGGAAATATAATATATCAAAGAATAATAACTTTGTTATGTTAAAATATCAACATTTGGTTTACCATAGATTTAGGTCTATTTTACCTTTGTAACAGAGGTTGTCCCTACACCCCCCTGCATAACTGGCTGGACATTGAGAGCAGGGAGATCCATATTTGTAAGGCGCATGGCCCCACCAATTGCCACTTTAAGATCAAAGTCAGAATCAAACTAATGCTGTCATTTCTGTAAACATTTTTGGATATTGCTCAAACATTAAGAAGAACTCACGGTGGAGAATAGTTGCACACGAGGTAGACAGCTTTGGCCCAGATCATTCCCCACACATTCATGTTGTAACAAACATTGATGGCACAGCCTATGCGATTACTAGTGGCCCACACCAACTGTGAAACAAAAAAGGTAGGATTAGATAGATTATTCTAGATTAATCTAGTTCTAGTTTAATAAACAAATGTTTTTTGTTTTGTTTTTAATATATTGGCATAGTGAAACCTTCACCTGAGTGTAGTGTGTGCAGACTGGTCCAGAGCACCTGAATGGACAGTGAGGATTACACTCCTGGGCGTAGGGGTAACTATAGTACCTCACCTCGTCATACCAAGCCTGCACATGGAAGGTTGGGGGACGGTCCCTGAACAAAATACATAAAAGCTTTATTATCTCCAAACATAGTATATCAGTATAATCTATACAGTCTTTAAAATAGTACCTTCCCCAGTGTGCTCCAAGGTTTTGTCCTATTTGTGTCAACATGTGACTGGGGCCATGCTCCCATCGACAGGTGTGCGCCCAATGCTCTGCACTCCGCTCCAGCTCATAATCCCAAACCTAAGGAACAAATAAAGGGAAACAGAAACAAGAATGTAGGCTTAGACTGTAAAAAAAATCTCATACAATTTAATTCATGCCACTTCTAACACAGATTACAATCTCTGTGCAGTATGAAAAACATAGACATATTTATTTATGTGGCAAATCCCTATGCTGAATTGGCTCCCACCTTCCAAGTACAGTATTTGAGTAAGACTTAGGTAGTACCCTGAATGACCTGCGCCTGACTGAAGTCTGTAGAATGGGTCAGTTTTGTTTTTCCTCTAGATTAAGTGGCCTCTTATGGCTTAAATTGTTGCCCATTACATTTTTCTAATAGCCACACACCCTCATCCAGAAAACTAACTTTCACAATCTCTTTTGTAGCTAATGTACGCTAACCAAACTCAAATAAACATACTTGAGGTAACCTGAAACATGAACCTGCTCTTTAAGTGCTGCGGCCATGGACATGCCTTCTGCAAATTTAGCACACTATAGTCAAAACTGGGCCTCTCCTATTAAAAACACACATACATGAGAGAGAAATATCAGCATTGCTTTAGCTGGCAGCTTTGTGCCACTACTGGTTGTGGTGTTTCAAATTGTGTTTCCCGTAAACTGTGGTCCTATTGCATAACTTAAAAAAGACCAAACAACTTCATGTTAATATTAAACAATCTTAAATTAAATCTGATGTAAAATACCCCAAAATTGCTCAAGACTGTTTAGAACAAATTGTATATGTTGAAGCTGGCATTAATGTAACAACAACTGTGTATAAGCAAAAATACAGGTATCACATAAAAATCCCAACACTACTGATGTAATGTTATTTCAAGCTTTATACCGATTTGATATAAATTCTTCCATATGTCTGATTAAAGAAAAAGTATTTGTAGGCACTAGGTAGCAGTAGCAAGTATAGCAGAGGTGGTATATTTTTTGGTGCAACAGTCATTAAATTTATTTTTAATATTTTGACTAAATGGTCCAACCTATCTGGTAGGAATTACATGTTTTTTTTGTAATTTTTTTTTCCATATATACAGCTATGTATACAAAGAGCATCACATATGTGTGTTTATTGTGCAGGTCATTTGAGGTGTGCACATTTGATCCAGGACGTGCTGAAAGAAGTAACCTGGAGATACCTCAGATTTCCAGAGCCAAAAACAGCACTATTCTAAAGTGCAAAATCCCCCTAGATTATCCTCAAAACAAAGAGGTTATTGGGTGTCCCCTTTGCTAAAACACTATTCATAACATCTGCAGCTTGGCCGCACTGATAACTTTAAGGATAGTGAACTCCAAGACCTGTATTTTGAAACAGCGGTGGCCAAGAGCATAGTGGCTAGCAAAAGGAGTGATTTAAGCATTTGTAAAAAACAGTTGGAGTAAGATGAAAAGCAGTGCCCTTAAAAAGTTTAAACTGCTTTGTTTGATAACAGTTCACAGTTAAAGAATGACTCCGAATGGTCCGATGTGGATTTTTAGCTGCTATAATCCTGTATTTGTCTTGCTGTTGTGACTGAGGACAAAATATTGGCATCAAATAACTGATATCACCATTAACCGCTATACCATCCCTAATCATAGGTGCAGACTAAATAAAATGCTAAATTATGTTTTTTTGTATGCAGAGGTCTTGATGCATGCATGACTTTAGCCTGTTTTATTCTTCTATGGTGAACCTGCTACATTTTAACTGAGATCAATCAAAAGTAATTCGCTCTTAATAGATCAGCTTAAAATCTCTTTGTGTCAGTATCTATAAGATATTGTCTGTCAAAATAGCATCTAAATTTGTCCTTTGCATTTGACCCATCCTTCAAAGTTGCTGGGGAACACTGCCAAGAGCAGTGAGTGCCACAGCACAGCACCTGGGGACCCATCTTAAGATCTTGAGATAGGTTTGGTCATACTATTTTAGCTGAAAGATTTTATCTATCATTCATGTTTTGGGTTGATGAGGGAAAACTGTGTGCCCAGAGGAAACCCACCCAGACACGCACAAACCTTGTTGCTATGAGGCGAAAGTGCTACTCAGCCACCATGTCGCATAATTATTACCACAAAGGAACAGTATATTATGGACATCTTTCTTTACAGTGTACTAAAGAGATCTAGTAACTAGCTTCCTTGCTGGTTTTGTAATCAATATTTAGGTATATAATGATCTCCTGGACTGATTTGGTGGTCCTTAAGAAACATTTTCCGTATGACATCCAAAATCCAGTCTTTATTTTTGAAAAGGCACAGAAATAAAGTAACACAACCTTCTGTATATATAGAGAGTCTATAGAGGGTGCATGTCATTATGGGTTGTTTCTGAACTGCATGGTGTGGGGTTTAGAGGAGATCAGAACACGCAGGCAGAGAAGCTTTTGTTTAAACTTCAAAATCTGGAGTTAGGTATAGACACTAAATCTTGAACATATTCTGGCCCCATCACTTCTCAGTGTTACCACATAATTATCATCAGTAGTAGTGTCCATTGCAAAAGAAACAGAGAATTAGTGCAAATATGCATTTACACTCCTGTACGCCACACTTGTGCTGCTCATGTTTGAAATAGATTAAGCACTGTGGCACCCAAAATGAGATGCGTAGAGGATCAAATAAAGCACAACACTGGACTATGCCAGGCATTTTGAGTGTGCTTGGATGGATGGGGAGCTAGAGGGTGGTTGGGGGTGGTGATGAAGAAAAGAAAAAGCAAAAGCCATGGGAGAGAAGAGATGTAGAGTGATGGAGTGGGCAGGAAGAGAGGGAGGGGTGGTAGTTGAGGTAAAGGGCAGGACACGGCAGGGGTGTGAGCTGGATCGGGACCAGGGTTAATGAGGATGGGCCAGAGGAGTTACAGCACCAAAGTTTTTTTTTCTTATTTTTAGACCGGAAACCTTTTTTTTTTTTAACACAAAACAACTCAAAATTCTATTCTAATATTGCTAGTGAAACTTTATTCATGCATCCATTACTGTATTTCTATTTGAAGAGTAGTCCTACATTTAATCAGTAAATGCAGATCAACACATTTACACTATCTTCAAGTGCTTATGAACTGGTTTGCCTGGTCTTACCATGTACTCCATATTGGATGCCGGAGGATGCACTTGGCCACGCAGCTTGTTGTGCAGGTCCAGTATAAGGTGCATGTCTCCTTCAGTGATGGCTCTCTTTCCTCTTGAGCGAGCCCTCCACCACTCTTCATCCTTATCCCAGTACTTGTCCAGAATAGACTCCAGCCTTGTATTGTTAGGGAGGACCATAGAAATGACTGTCTGGCTCAAACACAAGAGCAAGCTGGTCACTCCAATCCAGCCCTCAAAGGGAAAAGTCATTGTCAAGTCCTGCTGGTGCTGATGTTGTAGGCTTGTCTGAAAAAGGATACAACATGTTACTTCTATTTCTACATTATGTATAGAGCGATGGCCTTATACTTTTTAAAATTCATTAAAAAATGATCGTTTGTGCTTCCATGTCAAAATGTATAATTTGCCTTATGTTCGGGCCACACCTCAGTTGCGCATGCGTCAAATAAAGTAATTGCTATCGACAAGATTGCCAATATTAAGAATAATATAAGAAGTAACTGCAGTAGACTACATTAAAACCAGATAACCTACAACGCAGGTTATCTGTTTGCTGTTTACTTACTGTGAAAATCCTTGAGCTCGATATCCAACTGAACACTCCAAAAAGTTATTTTAAAAATATTAAAGCCTCTGAAAGGATATTATTCCGTCCATCACTTAAAACCAACTAAGCAACCGTTTGCATATACGTCCCCCAAGTAACCTGCTGAATTCCTCAAGTCGCCTGTTGCGCTGTAAGTTGCACATGGGACAGAACCTGCGGCACATTTGCGTTTATATGCCAAAATTGTGCTTAGCAACGGGCAAAGCACCGAGCCACGCCTCCACGTGGTTCACGAGCAATTTGACGCACCCGCACTGTAGAGGGCGAAGTGCCGCGGACAGCACCTGACGTGACGTGAGAGGACACTTGTGGTAGCTACATTTATATTCGATTAAACTGTAAATATTGCGTGGCTAATAACGTACTTTTTTTTTGACATAATAGTGCATCATTTACTTTTGAAGATAGGCCCATAAGTGCATTTTTATGTTGATTATGCGCCAATTAGACCTTCATGCGTAATTATAGAATCTTTGTCATAATAACCTTTTTTCCCCATTAGCCTATTTAATCATACAATGACAACTTGGAATTGACTCCAGTAATTTACCCAAAGTGCTACTGCCTCCCTCTGGTAAGAAACCGGACTGCGTCTGTCAGGGCCAAATGGAATAAAAGGCGACTCAAAATGTTTGCTACAAGGTAAATTTAAAATAATCCACTGAGCATGATGTTTTTGAAAAGAAAATTTAAATGGAAAATTTTCTTTATTGGTTCCACTGAATTCCCTTCTGTGCTATTGTAACTCAATCAATGAATGAGTAAGTTCTGTTCTTCTTAATTGGGACTTGCTTTGTATTTATTATGTTTAAGAAACCTGGTACATTATATATTGTTGGTATGAACATGATTTTGCCCATTTGTTTGATCCACTCACTAATAATTAACTTTCAGTCAGGTGACTTCTAACCAGACTGCATTATGTCAATTAGAGCAAACACATCAGAATGGGGAACCTGCAATGCCCCTCTCAGTCCTTTACTGAGTACTCAGTACTTTACTGTTTACTTTAACAGTACAGTAAAAATTAACAGGGCTATTAGGGTCAGACACATAAAGCAGCTTTACTTAGTAGTGCAGTAATGGGGAACATGATACCTCACTGCTGTGGCTCGAGACATCTGTCCATTTCCAAATTACTATCACAATCCTCAGTACCTCAGCCTCCTGTCCGTCAACTCCTCCATTCACCTGCAGGAGCACTACACCTCCGTCCAGTCCTCTCTGAGTCCCAAACAGCTGGAGGACTTTACTCAGAGTCTGAAGAGCACCTTTGGGCGATGGGAGAGTGTCGTATGGAGAAGTGGGAGTGGTCACTCTTTCTTTGGCCATTCAATTTGACACTGTGGCCCAACAGGTGAAGGGAGAGTATGTGTCCAACCCACCTCCGGTCTACACCATCGGCAAGTATCTGAGACTGGTGCCACATATAGCCAACAATCCCACCAGGATGAGACAGGAGACTGAGAGGTATCGCTTCTGCTATGAACAATCCTGATACACAACAGGACAACAGACCAGAATAAGTATCGTTAAAGTGCTACCCAAGTAACAATGGAACTACTGAAGTCTCATTAGACATGGAGTTGACTATTTAGATTTTTGTGATTGTGAAAGACCATTTCAAAAATGACCTATTAGGTCTATATACAGTTGAGATTACAGAATGTGAGTCCATAATAGTTTTTGAATAGTGGAAACACACTGGGTTTGTTTTTCGATATATTATTTTTTTTATGAAGTAGGGCTATATTGATGTGCATTGATTATGTCAGTAGCCTATTTGATATTGGAATAACCCGTATCCCAGAGATAAAAAAATAAATAAAAACAAAACAACAACAACAACAACAAAACAAGTGGCTATAGGACAATGTTATATCAGAGAAAATGCATTAATGGTTAAAATGGTTAATAAAATGCATTTTATTAACCATTTTACTATAGAAAAAACTAGCCTTTCTGTCAATTAAAGTTTATGTTATCTGAAATTATTATATCTAATTGTATAGGCAGATACTAACTATCTCTCTTCTCTGCACCAAGGTATATACGGAAGCTACAATCTGCATTTTCAGTCGATGAAGACTCCTCTGTAAAGATTAAAGACATTACAGTAGTGAACTTGTGGAAGTGTCAAATGGGACAGAGCATGAAAATGCACCTGAAGCGTATCTCCAATGAAACACTAAAAGACACCATGTTCAGCAAAGGCGAAGACATAAACCAAGACCAAAAATTTATTCTTAATCTCAACTGTGACCCCAAGGAGGCCAGTGAAAGATTTTTGGCAGAACTAGATACATATGATAACCGCACCAAAGAGGCTTTCAAGAGTTGTAAGCCAGACAGTAAAAATGAGATGTACACTACAGTGATTGAGAACATTGCGATGATGAACTGGCTGGACATCATAACCTTGCCCTCATTTGAGTTTAGTTTGCTCAGTCAAACAGAAGATTTTGATCTGAAGGCAAATGCTCTGGGGAAATGGATCTAAAATGTGTCGGTTGCTTGACAGATGTTTATTGAGGATGTGAAATTGTAGACATTAAGATATACTTCTATCATTTATTTTCATTAATTCTGATAACGTAATGCTATGTGTTTCTAAATCAAATATTGCAATCACTACTCTACGTGTAGATATGTTTCCGCAGATGTGATGTACCACTCTGCACAAATAAGAGCTTAACTTAACTAGTACCCTAACACACTAAAATTAAGGACATTTCTTTCCAAAGTGTGTGTGTGTGTGTGTGTTTTTTATAAGCCAGTGAGTTATGAACAACACCATAACATGTACACCGTGTAAAATAAGAGCATGCTTGTCTAGAAATTTTGATCAGCATCTTTTTAACATATGTAACATTATTAAAGCTTATTTCAGTATCAATCGGACAACAGTTATGCCTTATAAAATTATTAGGTGTAAGTTGGCAAGTAGTTTATATTAGTCTTTTTTGTCCATGGCATACCTATGAAGTTACAAGTTAACTTAAATGATTTTCACTTAATGTTTACATTTTTGTAAACGTGCGCAGAGGTCAAATGCAACGCCATGTTTCGCTTTTCCAACGTGCGCCCGCTTCTGTTTCAATCTACGTTACTGCATGGATGGAGATCTTATGAAAGGATTAATGCTGAATAAAGGTGGGGCAAAAATGTGAAGGTTTGTGTCGGATGGCTCTGTAATCCTAATCCTTTCGGGAGACGGACAAGGCAAAAAAAAAAAAAAAAAAGATTCTTCACTTGAAATTCACGAGAGCCGAATGAACAAAAATGTTTTTTCCTCACCAGCCAAGAAAGAATTAAATGGCAGTATCTGATCAGTGGGACAGAAATGGTGCGCAAACTTCTGCTGTCAGTCGGTAAGTTTAACTTTGGAAAGCTTTTGCTTTTGTGATGTGAATTCTTTCCGTTTTAAGATTATTTCCACCACTAATAGAAACTCAAAATAAAGTAATATCTTCTTTAGTTATAGCAGCAAGTTTCATCTCACCAGAATTGTGTGGCTCCACAGCATCTAAGAAGAAATCACAAGGTAAGCACTGCAGAAAATAAAACACATAAATAAAAATAATGTGTAAATGAATGTAATAATAATAACAACTTTAGTACCGTGAACATTCTACATATTGATGTTTAAAAGGAATATAAGTTGATGCATTTTTTATTATAACCTCTCCAGTGAAAAACAACTCAGGTGTCACCCCAGCTGGAGAGTGTGGCACATGGGTAAAGGAGCCAGATGGAGGCTACTTCACATCACCAAACTACCCCGAGAAATACCCTCCAGATCGGGAGTGTGTTTACATAATAGAGGGTATGTGATTTGATATAGCTGCAACATTTTTATTTATTTATTTTTTTTTAAATGAATAACATTTTTGTTTATTTGTTTACCATGAATAATTGTTTCCTTAGCTTCTCCACGTCAGTGCATAGACTTGTTCTTTGATGAGAAATATTCCATTGAGCCATCATGGGAGTGCAAATTTGACCACATTGAGGTGCGAGATGGACCCTTTGTTTTTTCACCTATCATTGGGCGTTACTGTGGGCAGGAGAGTCCCACCTTTGTCCGCTCCAGTGGACGGTACCTGTACATCAAGTTTGTTGCCGACGGTGAACTCGAGGCAATTGGGTTTTCTGCACGTTACAACTTTACTCACGGTTAGTGCCTGAAAAAAAACACACGGCTTAGAGACTGGTACAAATAGTGCTGTGTTTTAAATCCAATCCAAGTCATTGTTTAAAGGCTGTGTGCATTTAGTATGATTGATAGGATTAAAGTCTTGTCACAGCCCTGCAAATCAGATGCTATGTAGAACTACCTTTTGCTTTGTAATGTTGTACATTTTAACTTACTGCAACATTAGGGGACCCCAAATGACTCTCACTTCATTATTATGCTTGTGTTTAGGCTCACAGAAAGTCCTGAGCAGGGCAGCAAGACAGAGGAGGGCAGCTCTCCCTTAAAACCACAGCACACAAACAAACACACACGCGCACACACACACACACACAGATGGACACACACGACTTAATGAAAGCTTGTCTTCAGGGGAATGCAGCTTGTCACTAAAGGCTTATGGGAGTCCGAGGCAGAGACTTTATGACCACCAGATTTTATTATAAACCACCTTCACTGAAGATTAATCTGCATCTCGTGTCTAGATTACCACTGATTTCTAGTTTCACTATACTTTCTTCTACAACTTTGTAAAAATATATGAAAACTAAAACTGTTTTGTTTTTGATAAAACATCTTAAATTCCAAATAATATTTAAAAAGCACAGTCCCCTATAAAATTAGTTTTTGCCCATATCAAACTGAAAATCAAGTCACAAGTGAAAATGAGGCTGTTTTGGCAAATGCCTAACCTGCTGATTACATCCATTTATAGCCAATTACGGACCTCTTAAAAGCTATTTGGACATAACCACTCATGTCTTGTTGAGTTCTAATTTACTTAAAAATTCAAGAGTATTAGAAAGAATGTCTTAGTGTTTTCTAACTTTGTTCAAATTTGAATCTAATATGTTTTCCATTGACGCCTAAGATGACCTTGTTTGATGGTCACAATATCAATTGTTAAAATCTCATATTTACCACCAGGTTGTCCGTGGTTCGGGAAGACTAATCTGTCCCAGACTAATCTGCAATAATCCAAGTAGAATAATCTGCACAAAGGTTTTCCGCACAATTTTTCAATCCTTAGTCAAGTATTTTAAAGTCTGACTGGCTTTCAGGGAAATTTAAAATAGGGCAGATTGACTGAATGTACAGTACATTACGTAAGCGTTGTCCAGCTGCTTTCATCTTGCATGGCAATATGTCTCTTTAATAATGTTATTTCTATTCTGTTGGATTTCTTTCTTTTTTTATTTTGAGGTAAAATCTTTTCTCAACAGAGAATGCCTAGGGCAAAAGGATACATATTTATTCAGATACAAGTGGAGAGATCATTTTTTTCTATTTTTTTCATGTGTCTGTAGTACTTTAATTTGCTGTGAGATATTGTTTATGTTTTTGTTTTGATACAGAATTTTAATGTGAATATTTGAAATATATGTCTGTTTCTTTTTATTTAGATCCAGAGTTTACAGAACTGGGCTTACTGCCATCATTACCATGTAAGTATGCATGCCACTTTTCCTTCATTATAAATAGGTACTATAAGTATTTTAATTTTTTCAGTTTGTGAATTTGATATGACTGGCCCTGAGGGATTTGTGGAGTCTCATCAAATCACTAGAGATAACCGAGCCTTGCAAACTGAAGCTGTGGACTGCCGGTGGTACATAAGGGCACCACCAAAATCAAAGGTCTGATGAAAATGACTTATATTCCTTGTAATGATTTTTTTGTTAAAGCATTTATTTTATACAATTTGTCTTTGTATTCTGTACAGATTTACATGCGGTTCCTGGAGTATGAGATGCACAATTCAAATGAATGCAAGCGTAATTTTGTTGCTATCTATGATGGCAGCAGTTCTGTTGAGCACTTAAAGAATAAATTCTGCTCCACTGTGGCCAATGATGTCATGTTGGAGTCACCTCTTGGTGTGGTCCGTCTCTGGGCAGATGAGGGAAGTCGAAAGAGCAAATTTAGAATTTTGTTTACTACTTTTCATGCACGTGAGCTATTCTTTCTCTTGCATTAGATTTGTTCAACTCAACTTTTTGTATTTGAAGTACATCTTTATCTCTATTTATTTTTAGCTCCTTGTGATGATGACACTTTCTTCTGCCATAGTAATATGTGCATCAACCACACACTAGTCTGTAATGGTGTCCAAAACTGTGTCTACCCCTGGGATGAGAACCACTGTAAAGGTATAGTGGCCCAGAAACTCCAAACAAACTATAATGCATTTATCAAATTTGACTCTGGTGTCTCTTTGTTAGAAAAGAGGAAACCAAGTATTCTGGACTCACTGGATAATACCAATCTGACTATCATTGGTGTAACCTGTGGCTTAGTTGTCATTCTGCTTGTGATATCTGTCATCATTCAGATCAAACAGCCAAGGAAGAAATACATAATACGCAGGTATGTTTAATCTTTTCTTACTAACCATTATCCACGCTTACATAAAATTGAAGATGCAGAAAACTAAGGACCCAAGTTTGATTCTTGAACTATGTGGCTGGCAAAGCCTTTCTGTGTTCCCTGCATAGGCTTAGACCCCAGTTAGATAATAAGTATTTCTAACTACCATCCTGACCCAAGGTCTCAGGGCTCTGCAGTTCTCCTTTGCTCCTGCCAGGCTGTCCAAAGCAGAAAAAAGTCAACCTAATATATATTGCCTTGATTTCCACCATTTTGTACATGTGTCTTATATATTTGATCATTCTTTGCAAAATTACTTCCAAACTCATCCACAGAGATGACTTCGACCCCGCTCTGCTGCACCCGGGTTTTGAGCCGCCTCACTACGAGCTCTGTACTCTGCGTCGTGCTCCGTCTGGTGACCTGACCGATAGTGCTCTGGCAGAGGACTTCCATAAACTACGTCGCTCCTCCTCCAAATGCATCCGTGACCATCACTGTGGTGCCCAGCAGGATAGCATGCACGGGAGCGCACACGGCAGTCGCAGTAACTTGAGCATGAGGGATGGTGCCATAGCATCAGACGGAGGGCTTGGACCGCTACCACTACCTCCACCAATGGTGAGTCAGCAGTCCCCGCTCCTGTCCCATCACACTACTCCCACAGGAAGAAGGAACATCTTGGTGATGAAGCACAGTTACTCTCAGGACGGAGCAGATGGCTACAGGGGTGAGGAGGAGGACAGTTTAATGATGGACAATGAACCAACCACCAGCAGCCAGCGCCATATGCAGCATCAACAAATCCATCCTAATATGTCTGGCCTCGACCACATAGTCCATCGCACTCTTTCCAATGACTTCTAATGTACCAGCAGTATATGTAGTTTGTTCTGTAAGTTAGTGAACTGCATAATTTACAGATGTTTAATGCATATGTTGACTCCCTACCTCACAAAACCTATGCAATTTTATACACATAATGCAGGATCTAATAAATAGCATCAATTGTAGTAAACTGATTAATATTTAAAAAGCTAATATGCTTTCAATTTTGAGAGTACACTGCCTGTAAGCTGAAAACTCAGGGGTAAAATCACTGGAAGGCTGGCTTTCTGCGTTTGTTGTGCACTCCTGTGACAATAAAGCTCTCTCAAACTATTAGAATATTTAAATCATTGCATAGTTTTTCTATTTCAAAATGACGCTTGTTTGCCCTAATTCATTTAGCAGTGCGAGTCTGGATATTAGAAGTTTTTTTCTCCCTAACGGAACGAATGAAAGGGAACTCTTCAATAAAATTGAGGTCTGCCCGAACTTACTTTCACGACGGACCGATCTCTTTTAAAGCTTGTAAGAGACCAGAATGGTTGATTATTTTGTTTGATTTGTTTGAATAGAGATTTCCTCTTTCTAATTGCAACGCCGAATGCAATGCTAGTATAGCTTCGATCTGTTCGAGTTTGCGAAATGTCACAAGAAGACACATTTCTGGGAGTCCCATGCCATGGTAAAGGCGATATAGTGCAAACCAAAAACAGAAGCCGTCTTGGTCTCATTGTCACCGGTGTTGTGGGCGGCTCACTTGTGGCTCTTTACGCTGTTGCTGCGCCGTTTGTGGCTCCTGCCCTGAGGAAGGTCTGCCTCCCCTTTGTCCCTGCGACCACGGTTCAAGTAACCAATGTCCTCAGCGCCCTCCGGGCTCGGTCGGGGACACTAGTGGATATTGGCAGCGGAGACGGACGCATAGTGAGTGTTTTATGGTTATTACTTTATCTGCATGTAATACAGACTTTGGCACAACACCGACCATTATCTTTTTTGTACCACTGAACATGTGTGTATACAAATACGGTTTATAATAACCTAAGATTAATTGGTAATCCCCTGGTACACCTCCTGTTTTGAACTTCAGGTGATCGCAGCAGCCAAGCAGGGCTTTAGAGCATCAGGCTTTGAGTTGAACCCCTGGCTGGTGTGGTATTCACGCTATAAAGCTTGGAAGGAGGGTGTCCATCACACAACATCTTTCCACATATCTGATCTCTGGAAGGTAAATCTGTATTAATTAGATTGTTTCACATTTAACATGTGCAATGATGCTTACATACTTAAAAAAAAAAATGTATCCACAGGTCAGTTTTGCCCAGTACCCCAATGTTGTCATTTTTGGAGTACCTCAAATGGTAAGTTTTGTGGTTTCCTTCATTGCAATAATATGTTGATATTATTATTATTATTATTATTATTTATAAGTTGAAACTATAGTTTTCACCTGATGTTTTTGTGCTTTCTGCAGATGGAGAGGTTGGAACACAAGCTGGCTGAAGAGCTGCCAAGCACAGCCAAGGTGGTAGCATGCCGATTCCCTTTTCCCACATGGATCCCTGAACAAACTGTTGGGGAAGGCATAGACACTGTGTGGGTATATGATGCCAAGACATTCAAATGCCACAAAAGGACCAGGACATTATCTGACCCGAGCTAACATGGATAATAACCTTTATGTAAATTTAAATAAATTAAAATATATTTCACCTTTCTCAAAATAGTTCTTTGGCTTACTTAGGAAAGTTTCATATAAGTCACCACATCTTTGCTTAAAATACTAGCCCACTACATATTCTGTATCTTGTCTAAACATACAACTAAGTATCACTTCAGACCACAGAGAGCCACCACATCAAGTAGAAGATATTAGACCCTGATTTCATAAAGTTGTTCTGAATGTGATTGCAAAGAGGTTGTTTTACGCCTTATTAACAAAGGCCCATGATATTTAGTTTCTATAAGTTTTGGCTGACTATTATATAGAGAGGGAGAGAGATACTTTATAGTTGCTGTTGCTGCAACATTGTATCTCAGTCAAAGGTCTCAGTGCAGTTTAACAGGAGGACTAGGGTCAGCAGATCCAGTGGGAAGAGTCAAAAGTGTCCCTCTGTATCCTGCAACATCACAGCAGTGTCCAGTGGGGAACTAGTGAACACAGCAGCAACTGCCTCGTTCATACTCCGCTATGGTGTTTCAGTTGGTGACAAAGTGTTCCATTCCTTCAGAGTGTTTCCTCTGAGAGAGTTTCTGCCACATTAGCTGCCACATATGGTGTAAAAAGCCTGTAGCATCTCAAAGGTCCTACTAGCTCATTATCTACCCTCTTGCATGGCCTCCACGGATACGGAAAAACAAACAGCTCATTTCACAAAATGCAGCAGTCTCAATTACTTGTGTCCTTTGAACTACACATGCTGCACTTCTTAGTTGGTTAAATCCCATGATATGATGTAAAAAACTGAGCTCAAAAAACAAAGTTTCAAAAACTGCTCAGTATAAGCCAGATGGCCACAAAAGTGGGCAAACACTGTTGCCATGCGGAATGGCATTATAATTTAATAGGTCTTATTTTATAGTTCAGTTACTGTAAACGTCTTTCTAGATATTCTTCTGTTGTGAATTACCTTCTTGCTAGAGTGCAAGAGCATTTGGATTATTTGGTGGTATAAAATACTCAGTCTAAACTGACTATTTTCAGCCCAAAATGATGATTGTCGTTACCACCCATTTACAAGCGTGAGAATTAAAGAAACAAAATCTGTAATTACAATGTTGTGTCCCAAAGCAAAAGCCTTCTGCTGTATCTGCATTTGCTTGGCAACCTTTAGGCGCCATCTAGTGAACGGAGAAAGCACCGTTCATCGAGTAGCCTATGCGCTGTCCGTTTTGCGGCGGCATTATGGAGTAAACAGACTGCCCAGAGAATATTCGGTGATATTTTGATGATCGTATACAAAACTCGGGCACAGACAGGGGCATGTGTTTGTATAGATAGCCCAAGCCCACAGCATTTCGAGCTGACTGAGCAAACCCTAGTAGAGCCTGGCTACAGTGGGCAAGATGGATACCGCTGAGGAAGGTAAAATGTTTAAACTTGATTTCACGATACCGTTATATGCATTTTATTGTGTCATAGTATGTGCTGTCTCATAGTATAAATAAAAATAGCGTGAATTATCCAAAGAGCATGTGTGCCTAAGACCAATTTGAGTTTTTGACAAATTATTGCAATGCACCGCTAGTTTAAAAGGACCGCTAGCCAATTAGCTTTAGCGGGCTAGCTAGCCTCCCCGTTTGTTATGGCTTTTGTTCATAGCTTAACGTGCAGATGTTTGCCATGGTTTTCCTTGTGTACAAATGTAACTAGCGTTAACTCTGGCGTTGTGCTTCCCCATTATCTGTTAGTCACTTGTTGCCATTGTGTTCAGTGCATGTTACTAACTTAAAATTTGCCATATTTGGAGGCAGCTTTATAATAAAGAGTTTCCAGTCAAAGATCCATTTCAGATGATGAGAAGCACACCCATTAAACACTGTGATGACATTAGTTAGAGCTTTACAGGGCTCTAAAATTCAGGTGTTGCTTAAGTGTAAGAGCGCCTCAGTAACACTATACATCGTATCGCACACTTAATAACAGGAATTAAATACACTCGATGGCCATTCAGATAAATTACGTCTATAGACAACTTTTACAAAAGAGGAATCTTTATTAATGACCACACAAATAATTTGGTGGAATTTGCTTTTAGGTAGAGCACAATCCTGTTCCACTGGTATCCTATGCGGTGCGTTTACATCTTGGCCTTATAATAGTCGTTTTATTTTGGTCGTAGAGTGACACAGGTAATCCAAGGATTACAGTTTGTCCTACTGAGTGAGTTTGACATGCTCCTCTGCATCTGAAGACACATTCTCAATCTCCACATACCATACAAATAATATAATATGATAATAATATCAATTTCATTTATGATAATTTGACAGTGCATAAAGGGACAAAGGTTTTTTTTGCCTCTGTAATTATGTTATTAATCTACAGTTACACAGATTTGCTCTATGTTTTTAACAGCAGATATTTGCCGGGTTTGTCGGTCAGAGGGGACCCAGGACAAGCCTCTCTACCATCCTTGTGTCTGCACAGGAAGCATCAAATTCATTCACCAAGAATGGTATGAACTGGTTCTCTAACACATGTAAGTGACGGAAGGTTAAAATATATATTTAAAACACTGTCTGTTTTGCAGTCTTCTCCAGTGGTTGAAACACAGCAGAAAAGAATACTGTGAACTATGTAAACACCGGTTTGCATTTACACCAAGTATGTTTGATTTTCTTTTATTCAGTGATTCTAACTATCTTCATACTATCTGTGTAGCAAAGATAATGTCTTTTTCTTCAGTCTACTCTCCAGACATGCCATCCCGTTTGCCTGTCCAGGACATCTTTGCAGGGCTGGTCACAAGTATTGGGACAGCCATCAGATACTGGTTTCACTACACACTGGTGGCCTTTGCCTGGCTTGGCGTGGTGCCTCTTACAGCATGTGAGTAGTACCATTCTTCTAATGGCCTTTAAACATATTATTTTAACAATTCATAAACATGAATGAATCAATCATGACATATCCTGTAGTTATCTTGTATGTAGGTGTTTTGAAGTCATGATTAGAGAGCTAACACCTTTAATGTCTGTGTCCTTCACAGGTCGTATTTACAAATGTTTATTTACTGGCTCTGTGAGCTCTCTCCTTACCCTACCGTTAGATATGCTATCAACGTAAGTATTGATCACCACTGTTCTCAGTCAATCACACTACATACATAATTAGAGAAGACCCTTCTTCACCCTCCATGAGTTTCAGGTGTTTTGTGATAGATGTAGACAAAAGTAATTGATTTAGAGAGGAAATGACCTGATGACAGTAGTTGAAATTCTCTATAAAATATATATAAGCACTATATAACATGTATAATTCTCTTTCGTTCCTCTTCACAGACAGAACCTGCTTGCCGATTGTCTCCAAGGTTGTTTCGTGGTCACATGTACACTGTGCGCCTTCATCAGCCTTGTGTGGCTCAGAGAACAAATAGTACATGGTGGGGCCCCTCAGTGGTTGGAGCAAAATCCAGTCCCCTTGGTACCCAACCAGCCACAAGGCCCAGCTGCAGCCAATGAGGTCATCTTCAAATTATTATTAGGGGATTTAACAATATTGGCTAAACACAAAAAAATCCTAATAATATTGTGGTTAAAAATGCATTTTTACCACACTTACCATGATTGTTTGCTGCATTTCAGTGCAGCCAATGTGAAAATAACTACTAATAAACTGTTAATGTGCCTTTTGAAATGGGGCAAAAATAATGACATAAAAATTCTGTCTGGTATATGTAGAGAATAAATTAACCTCTCAACAGCACAACAGATCATAATTGTGAGGTTACTACTGCTAAATGTTCATATTGCCTGCCTGTATTTAATGTTGAATATTTTGTCAGGATCCTGGAGGGAATGGTGCAGAGAACGGGCCAGTTGGTGCTGATGCTGCAGAGGGTCTGAACCTCGCCGATCCAGCAGCAGCGGTTGACCCACATGAAGCAGGTCACCATCGAGACGAGGGTGCGCTGGAGGATGATGACGACGAGGATGATGATGGAGAAGAAGACGATGATGAAGACGAGGAGGTCAGGGAGGAGGAGGCTGCAGAGGCCAATAATGGAGGACAAGGTGAGTATTTTTATTTTTATAATCCTAAAATTCATATCATGAAGTAGTGCTGCACAGATATTGCAATATTGGCTAATGTGATCACAAGTAACATGGCAACAACACAGATGTATCAAAGACACTTTTCCATCAGACAAAAAAATAAATAAATCTAAAAATCTAGATTTAGATTTAAATTTATTGTCATTGTACAAAATACAACAAAACTTTGACAGAGCAAATATGTAACAGTTAAAATGAATGAATATAGACACATGTAAAATATTTTATTTTAATTTCATATTCATTTCCCCCTTTTGACCTGTTTGATAAGTTAAAGCAAGTAAATTTTTGTTTTCTTTTAACTGAACTCACTATGTAAAAAAACTTTTTAAAATAAAGTCAATTATTACAATTTTAAAAAATTGTTATTAAATATTACATATTTTTCCTAAGTCATGAGGCTCTATGGATTCCATATTTTACATCAAGATTTTTTATATTGTGCTTTGTCCTGATACTGTCTAAACTTTTGGTATTTTTATTAGATATTTACATCTAGTCTTAAGCGTTTTTGTTTCTTTTTTTTTACAGAAGATTTGAACTGGAATGCGCTGGAATGGGATCGTGCTGCTGAGGAACTTACCTGGGAAAGGGCAAGTCTTTACAATGCCCTAATGAAACATATATACATTAGACAGATTTCATTATACACTGTTATTTTTGCCTTATAGATGCTGGGCCTAGATGGCTCCCTTGTTTTCCTGGTAAGTTTAAACAAAGACCATTTTTACATTCTCCTCAACACACAAGGTTTTCAGTTCTAATTGATATCACTGCTTGTAGGAACATGTCTTCTGGGTGGTTTCTCTCAACACACTTTTCATTCTGGTGTTTGGTATGTTGGAAAGTCACTATATTTAGTGGAATGATGTTAATTTTTTTTTTTACTCTAAACTTTTCTAAAAGTTGTGTTCATATTTATGTTCTTTTATAT